GCTCCCACTACCTTCTCCTCTTTCATCCACTGGCACCGCCCGTGCTTGCCCCTCCAACAACTTCTTCATCATCTCCTCCAGGGGCATGAATTTCCCTTCCACATTCTCGCTAAATGTGGCCATCTTCTCCTCCAGATCCGCCTTAAGTTAACCCATCTCGGTCTCCAAAACTTCTACCCGCTTAGATGCCATGGGAACCAACGAGATGCCTCCACATCCACAAAGAAAATCTTCCAGACAGCAAGAATCTCCCTCCAAACAGTCAAAATCTGCTGTTTTACTCAACTGCTGCTCTTAAAAACCCTAAAAACTGTTGTTTTCAGGGGAAAACAGCCTCCGACAACCCAAAATCTGCGGACAAAACAGCCCTCCACTGTCCGGATCTCGCTCTGATACCAATTTGATAGGAAATACTCGTTTGCACAAGTAAACCTAACCCAAATCAAGTACCTAAGCAAAGAAACTGCTGTCCGCAGCAAGAACACAGCCCAAACAGTGGAAAACGAAGAGAAAACTCAATGGAAATTCGTAGGAAAACAAAGCAAACACTTTTATTTCAATAGTAGATAAAAGCAATTGCAAGATACAATCTTCCTTCAATTCGAGAGGAAGGAAGCACTCTCCACGATCTCCGGCAAAGACAGGAGCCCAAGAACAAACCTAGATCTCCCAAGAAATTCAAAATTAAGATGAAACCTAAAACCTAGGTTAATTCCCTCTTAATACAATCTAATTCAAAACAAAAGCAAAAGGACATCTCTACCCTTCCTTCTCCCTCCAAAACAACTTAAATTTTGTTTGAATTGCTAGTGGACCCTACCCCCCAAGCCTCCTGCCTCTTCCGCCAGCTCCCTGTTCCGCTTCCGCCTGGAGAAGACCCGGACCGGCTGGGCCGGTCCAGGTTGGACCGGCCTAACAAGTTCACAATAGTTCGAATTGAAATTATTAAAGCATGGTCATGCAGGATAGAAGTGGGCATTATGGGTTAAAAGGATGGATTCCATGACTTATTAAAAAGTTCACAACAATTTATGTAAGAACCAACAACCTCAAGTTTCGCACTTATACTAGGAAATCATATCATGAAAGAATTTCATGCATCGGAATTGATCGAGAATTTGACATCTATGAAAAAGAGAATTATATTTGACATTTAAAAACAAAATTTCATAATTCATCCTAAAAATTTTGACTTATAATAGAGAAGGGCCCATAATAATAAACTATAACTGACAAACATAGTACGAATGACCAAAATGGCTTTGACGAAAATAGATTGCTGAAATAACGATGAAAAAATATGCTCGAAAGTGACATTTCCATCAATTCCATAAACAATAAGCAGTCTAGTCCAAAGAATGGAATTGGCAATAAACTACACATCATGATCTATTAGCAAAAGATCATCAATTGGTGTATGGTACCTTAAGAAACTAATAGAATTGTTGTCTCAAGGGGGCGTCAATAGCCATCTAAAAAGTAGTTGAGTAATGGCAGCAATATAGATCCTCAATATATATAGAGTATCAGAGGCTTGAAAATCCCTCGACTAGGTAATAGATCCTTAATATAGAAAGTAAGACTAATAATATTGTAAATAGGCAAATTAAGTACACATGCTTGAGGTCTTAGCTTTCAAACTAAATAGTAAGGCTCAAAAGCTCTAGTAGACAATAGTCATGTAAAAATATAAAAATAATGTAACCTGTATCGTAAAGCCAAAAACTTCAATGAACAATATAATGGCTTTCAAACTTCAATATCCAAGGCAAGTCTATGACATATGAATGATCAATGAATGGTGAAACATCACATGCATGCAAAGGGGATAAAATGAAACCTAAAATGGTAAGGAGTAGGCAACTTAAAAATTCAAATATTTTTATTATCTTTCTTAAGGCCCGCAATGGGGTTTCTGAGGCTTTTGTTAGTTAATAGATTAATTAAGAAATATTACAACCGCACATCAGTTACAAAAATTAGCTTAGTTTTCATAGAAGTTTAACATATTCTCGGATATAAAATGGATTAAAGGAACTAGAATTGTAAACTGAATAATGGTTTGTTGAACAAGTTTGGGCTAGGACTGATTTTGACCTAGGTTCAAACTCAGGTTTGGTCTCAAGAGCCTCAAGTCCAAAAGCAGTTGCAGCTGAAGGGCATGAAAAAATGTCATCTTAGATTTGCTATTCTTCTTCTAAATAAGTATGAAAAGGAGATTTTTTAATGCAATTTTATAACAAAGATAATAATATAAGTATATCAAGGGCAATTATCAAGAATTGTCAGAGTACAAAGAAAATATTAAAGAACAATAATACATGAAGCCCAATCCATTCATTAGAATAGGGAGACAAAAGGAGAAAAAATGACTCATTTGGACCGCATTGCTTGAAGCCTGGTGAAAAACAAGAAAATGAAAATATTTTTTTTATGGCCATATCTAGTAAATTGGTTTTAATATCTCCTATCCTTAAAAGCATCTTCACTCACAAGTCACAATGCTCACATCAAAATACAGTTATGACACAGAATGTCATGGTCAGCATTGTCTTCACTAAAAGGAATGGAAATGATAAATATCAAGGATCAGTGAGATTAGGGGTGTCAAAATCTGGTTGCAGGTCGGGTTCGAGACAAACCCAATATTGACCTGCTACTATTTGACACGATTCGAACCTAACCTATTTTTACAGATGAGCCAGAAATTTTAACCCAGAACAACCGACCCATCGGGTTTATGGATTGAACCGACCCGACATGAAAACCATGAGTGCGAGACAGCGAGACAGAGTGCAACACAGCTGGAACACGCACGCGGGAGTGCAAGACTACGGGTGGTGTGTGAGCGCGAATGTGCGAGGGCGAGCTAATCCGCATGCGGGGCTACACCTGCACGAGTGCAAGCGGAGGCACAGAAGTGTAGGACTTTGTGTTTGGCAGTTCAGGATAACTCGCTAGGGCTGTGTGCCCGTCAACCCGTGTGCGTGAATACGGGCGACGCCTGGCATTGGAGTGTTGCGCTCAAATCTCCAGCTCTCTGTTGCGCGCGAATGACTAAATGAACCCTAGCAATCGTCATGTATCCCTAGCACGAATCAATCGTGCCGCGAATGGTGATTGCGTGCGGTGCAGGAGCGGGGTTGTGCCTGGGCGAGGTGACTCGGGTCAAATTCGGGATTCCGATTTAACCCAAACCCGACCCAGCTTCATAAAAGGGTTGAAAAATGAAACCCGAATCCGACCCGTATGGCAAACGGCTTGACCCGAACACAGAATTTTTTGGGCCAGGTCAAATATTGACACCCGTAAGTGAGATAAGTGCCAATGTCTAATTAACCAAAGCTTTAGTTATCATTTCAGAAGGGCTAGAAAGGACAAGCACAATAGTCTTAGTATCTTGAGGAATGTAAATAAGTTCCAAATTTCTAGAGTACAAATCTAAGTTGATGATGAGGAGCAACAACTATTGTGGTATTGTGAGGGATCTGAACATTTAAATATTCTTCTAGCACCGGAGTGTTTGAATTACTTAAATTTGAATGAGCCTTAAAGCACTCGGAGAAATTGTGCCCAAACTTTTTATAGAATGAACAATATGGGGGGATGCCTTCAACGAGTGTCTTTCACCAATAACCAGGACACTGTAAGCCAATCCATGCCTTCTTCAATGGCAAAGTAATGTCAATTCCAATCAAAACTCCAGCAACTGAAGGCCTTGAAAGATGAACAATTGCAAAATCCAAGCATTAAGATTTGCTAAAGATGAAGCCCAAAGAATATAAAGCGGATTAGTTGAAATAATGCAATCAAAGGTAAGGAAAGGCTACCCCAACATGTGTGATGGTTGGTTCCACAGAGGCATTAAAATGGGGAGACCACTTAAACATATGCATCGAAAAGCCACTGACATATTATATGCATCTAGAAAAGAGCTTGGTGTAATCTACATTAAAGAGAGCCTTATAAGGATGTGATGACTATCAATAGCCAAACTAAATGGTCACCAACTGAACATGCCCGAAAAAACACCCATAACTTTTGTGAATTTGCCAGCAATAGGAGGTGTAAGATTGGATAGGAGCATCCTACACAAGAGGCAATGACGGTGTAGTGTTAGAGCTAGAACCATGACTGTCGGAGCATCCAATAAGGAAGATGACATCAATGGGTGGGGACTGTGGAGAGGGAGACCTAGCGAGTACATCCCAAAAGCATCAAGGAAACAAGAGGTAAGGAATGAAAGCAGGGGAAGAAAGTCATCCATAGTAAAGGGAAGTAATTATTTTGGGATACTAAGCACGAGGAAGAAGCACTAGGCATCCCAATTGAATCTATCTTCCACCGTAAGCATGCAAGCCACAAATGATAGCAAACTAACACATGCAATGCATGACTAGGACACCACAACTCTCACATGCACAAGACGAGAGCATAGTAGCCATCGCGACAACAAAGAAGGGATTGGAGACACCATGCGCGTGATATGGAAGCTTCGATCGAACCTAATGGATTAAAATTTCTTTAATAGAATTATAAATGACCTTTTTAGCTGTTGGTATTGGTAGTTGTTTAATAGTTTTAAATTGTATGCATACTTTGTTATTGTAGAGTCATTAAAGAATTGTGGGGTAAACCTAGCAAAATGACACTTGGGAAACAACTCAGAGTGTACGGATCTTAAATAAGCTTCATTGATTGCCCCATGATGAAAAAGATCTACTTCATGCCTAATGTTTTACCTAAGGCCAACTATAATAATCCAAGGTTGATGTGATACAATCCATGCGAAAGTGATTTGCTTAAAGAAATTTGCACGCTTAGATTTAGAGACAATAATAAGCAAGATCTTATGCGGAATTGAACGATAAAATAAATATTAAAGTGGTACCTAGCTTAGATTATCTCACATGCATAGAGGTTGAGATCATTAAATAGTCAACTAAGTCTTACTTTGCATACATGAATTGTTCCAACAATAAATTCTAATACTAACAATAAGATTAGTCTATGAAAGATCCCTCATACAACTCTTCTAATTACTAGGTTTTAGCGGAGAAGCATTAACATGATCGTCATGAATTTACTAGACCACAATTGAGAGTCACTACGAAGATAAAAGATCCAGGGGAAGAGTTTACCCAAAGGAAGTAGATTCGAGGCCCCAAGGTGATCGTTTAGGTGCTTGAGAGAGTGGGCAGCAACTTTCAGGGCTTGGGAACCTTCTGGTCGACGATTGGAGGTCTTCTGGACGTCGAGACAACAGCAGGAAACTGCTGGGCTTGTTGGACAGCACTAGGGGTGACTGGATAGCCACTATGAGGGATTTGACATCAGTTTTGACTTCCCAGAATTCTGGACAGCAACCGGAATTCTCTTGACAGCAAATTCCTATCTTCAAATTCCTGGACAGCAGCAGTTTTTGGTCTTGGACAGACCCTGGACAACACCCAATCAGGGTCAGCAAGGATTTGGCTTGAGGAACTAGACTCCTTAGGACACTTAGCCCTGTAGCTTAAGGTAGTCTATCATATATACCTCATGTATATTAAGAGAGAATGTATAAAGGTGAATATAAATTCAACAAGGGTTGAGGCACTAAGGTATGACTTGAAATTTATTTGCTCCTCCAAACGGTTCATTTTAGTTTGCTTATAGTTAGGACACTTTAGTTAAAGTTCAAATATTAGTGTCTTAATGTTGTGTTAAATATAAAAAAGTTGATTGAGAGGATTTTAATGATCTTAATTTAATTTCATCTTGCTGAATGTAGATCATTATAAATGTTTGAGTTAAGGGTTGATGAGAGGTGTATTTGATATATTTTTTGGATTCCATTTGATTAGTTAATGACTTTAAAGTTGTATGTTGGTTAGGAGAATTTTAGAGATCATGGATTAATTAAGGAATTTTAGGAGTTGTATTGGTTTATGAATTCAATTTGAGGCTTGTGCGTTTATCACTTTTTATTAGCCACTTTTAATATTTAATGTTTAGGTTTGATATACACTTCTTATTTTCAAATTAATTAAGAAATGAGGTGCAAGATTTATTTTATTGGTAGCTTATTACTATTTACTTAAGTTAAGCCATAATTACCCTTGTTAAACCAAGGTCATGTGGTTTATTTCACTCTCCTTGGGGCTAAGTTAATAGCCTCATAGGTCCAGGTTGCTAAGTAATCATCTTGTTATTAAGCTTTATATTTATTGTTTAATAATTTTTAGTAGAAGGTTATCATTATGATTGGTTCATTAATGATTTAAGATTAATTATGAATTCATTAGTGTATTTTTACTAGTTGGTTTTGTAGCATTTAGGGGTCTTTTATATCATTTTTGAAGCAAATGAACATCAGAAGAAGAGGTGCAACACTAAGTTCAAAATATATATATATATATATATATATATATATATATATATATTATTCACAAGGATATCCAACAAACAATGCTAACCTATTATATATAAGATAGATTACTGTAGCAATATAGAAAAGATCAGTGTTGGCCAAAAATGTGACTATCTTGTGAATATGAGGTCAGTGTTGGTCTGGAATCACCGTTGCTCAACTACGATTAAACTATGAGGTCCCAGACCAATTCGTTCCAAAAACCAAAAATAAAAATTTGAGCCGATCAAAACTGATGGTTGAACTAGTGGACTATTTTCAATTTTAAAGAATCGTGTGATTCATATTTTGATCAGTTTATTGTCATTTAATTTTAATCGGATGGCAAGAAATAAAAGATTTTGATTAAATAAAAATAATTAATTTTTTAAATGCTAACCACTAACTCCTTAAATCCTAATTTTCCCTAGCTAAGGCCATTTGCACCGCACGCCTCCTTCGCTAGATCGCATGTGGTCATCCCTTGCCCTTTACCCTTCACCCCCTCTCGCCCTCTCCAATCCCCTCTTCCTCACATCTTGTCTAGTGGCTTATTTCGCTTGGTGAACCACAATCATAGGTTTGATTAAAACCTCAAATAGGTTTAGGTATTTTTTTATACCCTCAATGGTTTGAGCATCTCTATAATCAAGATACTTCTAACTCAAACTCCTCCAAAGAGAAAATATTTATATACAAATATTGGGTTGATGCTCCTAATATTTTCATCATTAGTACAAAATTTGAATAATATATGAATATTTTTAATATTTATTACATTACCCAATTCAATCTTTGAACCTTTAGCCTTTCCTTCTTCCAATTCAGCGTGCTCCTATTTTTAGAACCTCTTAGAACTTGGTTAACCATCAAGTTGGCCAAAAATGTGACTATCTTGTGAACAAACTCAACAAAATGGAACTAAAAACAACTGAAGGCATTTAATAGGATTGAATTATTGCATTAAAACTTCCAAAAACACAATCCTTTTGAAAAACTTTGATTTGAAGCTAATGACCTTTTGAAAACAGATCTAAACCATTTAAATAGAAAATAATAAGTACAAGAAGAGGATGGATGTCTTGTATGAGAAGACGAATCAATTAACTTTGGAACTCATTTGATTTGAATTGTCTATCCAATTTAGTTTTCTTTTTACTTTTCCTTTATTTCTCCTTTTTCTACAAGGAAAAGCTCAAGGATTCTTTTAAATTAGCACAAGGAAGAGGCGTGGCACTATTCTTGAGTCATCATAGGTGACTAATAAGATGACGTGCTTGGGAACTAAAAGGGGAAACTGGGATATAGCTTACTTTCAAAATATGTCGGTGTGAGAGTAGTCAATTTAGATAGTCAACTTAGTCTAATAGGTTTGAGATTTCAAATATCAAGATTTTTATGAATAAATATTTGAAATTCTTTGGAAATTATTGAGTGGAAAGGTGGTTATGGTGAGGTAAAGGGAGAATCAATGAGTTTTAACTTGATTTTAGAGCTGTTTTGGATTGATTTTGTGTTCTGAACTTAAAGGAGAAAATCATCGAGGATTTTAAGCAGATAAGCTTGAAGTTTATTAGATAAATGTTGAGAGAAATATTCAGTTTTGAGGGGAATGCCATGAGGTGGGAGGCATAGAAGGGGAGAGAAAAGAATATTGGGAAACGGTTAGCTTGCATATGGAAGTATACAACTGGAAATGAGGAAGATCAAGGGAGTAACCTATGAACATATGGGGACAAAAGGGGAAACTAAGAGAAAGAAACTCCCATTCTATGATGTATTGAAATTCATGGCTACTCAAGAATACCTTAAGTCATAAATTCATGAAATCAGTTATTAATATCAAAGGGTAAGAAAATTGAATACCGTTGATGTAGGAATGTTTGCTTTACTGCAAATAGGATGTATGACAACAATGTGAATGGCTTTGAGTTAAAAAAATATATTGGATGAATATAAATATAAGAAAAGGGGATGAAAAATAAATGAGAAGGTGGATCAAGATAAATAGGATATAGTAAGAACAAGTAACCTCAAGTCTCGTTGATGAATGAGGACACCATAACCGAAAAAAGAGTTTTAAGCATCACATTTGATCAAGAACTCCCCAACTAAAAAAGATAATTCCATTGATCATTTGTAACATAAAATGATTATTCACCCATGGATTATTATTTATACTTTATAGAGCAAGATCCTCAACAATAACGTATAACAAACTCACATGATAGAAAAATGAATGAAATAGCCTTAACACTAATAAAAATGTTCAAGAAGTCCAAATGGCATTAAATGATTTAAATAATTAAATAACAATAAGAAAAAGAAAAATTAGAATGACAAAAGTAAAATCAGAAGTGGCCTTAGAAGTGGCATCTCCATCACTCAGCATGCTAATGCAAGGATCTAACAAGCTTGTGCAAAAAACTGAAAGAAATCAATTAATGTATAACTCACAGCTCATAGAGCTTTCGAAGTTTTCCAAACATATCTGACGCTTGTCCACTCAGCTGATTATTTGCGAGAATACTGCATCACAACAAAACCTTTTCCATGATTAATACTAAAGAACAGAATAAAAAATCAATAAAATAAATGCATGCATTGTTCTTACAGAGTTTCAAGGTCTGACATTTCTGAAATCGAATAAGGTACCCTACCAGTAAATGTATTCCCCGCAAGATTTCTACTCAAAATGATCACCTTAACATAAGCTTAATTTTTTTCTTGCAAATAGTCACATTGTAAAGAGCATATGCTAAACTTGACATGATGTGATTAAATAGTCATTCAATATGCTAAGCTTGATGTACTGTCATTAAATAGCCAATTAAGTTAGTGTTTAAAAACTTATGCAACAATTTGTGATAGAAGCATGAAATTTCTAGTTTTAAGAGACTTCCAAATTAGGAAAACAGCTTACATGTGAACTGCGCTGGGTGGAAGTTGGTAGGGAATATCACCATGAAGATTGTTCCTGCTCAAATCACTGTACTATGGCCAATACATCAATTGTATTTAAGCTGATATACTACAAGAGATAATAGCCTTTCTTACAGAAATAACTTACAAGTAAGTTACAGATGCCAAGCTAGAAAGCTGGTAACCTAAAGTGCCAGTCAATCCAAGGCCAGACAAGTTGCTGCTAATCCATCACCAAAGGACATGAATTAAGCTTGCCTCAAGATTAGAAGACTAAACATGAATGGAAAGCTTAAATCTTGGCGAGTACGTGCAATGTTTTCACATTTCAAACTGTTCACTCTATAACAACTCATCCACATGGTACTTACCTTTAACAAAGAAACTCAAGAAAAGAATGATGCAATTACAATCTGCCTGTGCTGTGTATTTTTCTGAGGGTGCAGTATCAATACTTTATGCTATGTTAGTGATCTAGTGACTAGTTAATAAGTGGCAATGTTTAGCACTTTTGCCCCATTTTACTATCTTCGTTTACTATGCCAAAGGAGATGTATTCATAACAAAGGAAGCTACTCAATTAAATCATAATATCTAGTTACAACTTACAAACTAAAACACCATGGCATTTTACTAATTATCCATACTCTCATTTTATTTAAATTCATGTTATGCCGAACATGTGCTTATGCTTTGTACCAAAGTCTAGTAAAGAACTGCATTGATCATGAATGGCAACGTCCATAAATGACTTGAATAGCAAGGCTCTTTTGTTTCGATAAAAAACTAAATACAAAAGCAAAATTAGGGATTGAATCTATAGCTTCCAAGTTTTTAATAATTTAGCATATTTCAAAGCTTTGAATATTATGTAATGCAACCAAAATTTGGAATGCCAGTTGAATAATAAATTTGATAGTACAAAGATAAATACATCTCGGTGACAGATGAGCCTGAGCTTCCAAGATTTTCCACAGGGATCACCTCCACTTGATTTCCAACCAGTCAGCTGCGAAGGAGAATTTAGGCTTTTATACATAACAGTAAGGGCAGAAACTGTAAGAAGAAGAGAAAGAAGTCAGCCAGATGTACATGGAAGAAGATATGATTGAATGTTTAAGCTTTAAAAAAGTTCAAAACAATACAAACATTTGATTAGCATCTAAAATCCCAAAATCAGCTTCCGTACCCCCCAACAATACAAACTTTTTTTTTTTTTTGCATACTAATACAAAATCAAATCAAAGGGCCGGAGATATAATACCGTCAGGTGAATCGGTTTCTCCCGTGATGGAGATTACGAGGTGCACAAGAATGAAGACGATGGCTGCAATGAGCGCTATAAGGTACTGAGCCATCTTCAGATACAAACCCTAGCCAATCGGAGGTGAGCTTTCTCCATGCAAAGGAGAACTGAGAGATGAAGGTGGAGCTGAATGTGGCTGTTTCCAGGATTTGCCCCCATTTTCGAGGAATATTAAATCGATTTCTAAATTTAGGGAGCCGCCGTTGAGTACGGGCGGGACGCAGCCAGCCTGGGAGTTGGAAATCATGAGCACCATTGGAAAGGAGAAGAACAGCGGAGCGAGAGGACGCGGAGCCTCTTAGTCACAAAGAGTTAGAGCAGGCCATGCCCTCTTCCATTCAAGAAATTATAAAGTGCGTAGTCCGGATATTGCTTTGCTTTCCGACTTTTTTTTTTTTTTTTTTTTTTTTTTTTTTTTTTTGGACATTTAGATCATTTAAGTCAAACTCACACACACAACGCATATACATAGACTCGAACCCTGGACCTCTTAGTTGGAAGCCTAAGCTCTCAACCAATAGGCCAAGGAGAGTTGTGTTTCCGACTCTATTTCAAACTTAACTTCATCACGTGAATATTTAATAAAGATTTTGTATTTTATTTTTCACTTACCAGTCTGATCGACCGGTCCACATGATTTTTGTTCAAATTTAAATTTTTTGATGGACGCTCCTTTTTTTAATTGAAATATTCATAAAAGCTCTTAAACATTTAAGATTTTAGCTCAAAAAAATTTTGATGCCTCCTAAAAAATTAGGAAAAATCAATAAAGATGATGACTAATTTGAATCAGGACATTACATTCTTCAAGCAAAAGATATATCAATAAGATAAAGATTATAAAAGACATTATACAAACGCCCAGGAAGAGGAAGATTTGAAGTTGAAAAAAATTGCATCATAAATGAATGAAACATTTTGTCTAAACGTTTCTCCGATGTGTCAAGGGTTCAAGGAGGCAGCACCCTTCACGAAATAAATTTTGGATGTAATTGTAATTTTGAAAATTTGCTTATTTGCCTTGTAAATATGTCGTAAAAAATTTAGAATTTGTAAACTTTTGTACTACATCTTCTCTCAATAGTAAAATTTAGAGTAAGATCACAATCACATGAGAATTTGAATTATGCAATAATTATCCTAGTAATGCCTACACAAGTCACTATATCTATCCCACCAATATAATTCTGAAAGGAGTTTTAAGAAATTCTTACTCCAAATGTTGAAAGTTAAAATTCAATAAATAAAAATGTTTTGAACTTATGACGTAGATGAAAGACATATCTACCTAAGTTGACTCTTTTAATGTATGTTGTGTTAGATCTCTGTTGAGCTTGAAAGAATTTAAATTAGAGCTTTTCACTCTACTACAATGATCATATTCACTTAGAATCCAAAATCCTAATCATCATATTTTTAGGAATGATAGTATTATGTTTCAACTCTCCTAATTATTCCCTCATTCCTCTGTCGAGACAATAACTAGATTTTAACTTAAAGTACGATTTATGCAATAATTAAATCATGGACTAGAGCAATTAAAAACAACATTAAAGTTGGCAAGATCTTGAGTCAACTTTGGTCATTCATGCTTTACATCACATACGATAAGTCTACAACTAAGTGTTTAGCCAACCAAGGAAAAGAAAATACACAACATATTTCACAAGATAAAAATAAAATACAAAGATGAGTTGTGTAGAATGTCACTAGAAGCGATTATATAATGCAATGTTCACTTTTCACAATTCAGATTATTCTCCCTTAAGAACTCCATCTCTAAACACTCTATACCACACACTCAGTATTTTGCTCGAGAAAATAACTAAAAGCCCTAGTAAATTCGACCAAAATTTTATTTATATTAAGTACACAAACTGTTATTTGCACCACGGTGCTGAAAACGATGGTGTCATGGGTGTTATGAAATGAACTAGTGTTGCGGTGTCGCTAAGTTTGCCTGCATCAGAGCTAGGTTTTAATCATCGTGTCATTTCTCCTATGAACCATTCCATTTCCTACACCGCGGTGCTGTAGTGTTCATCTTCCTTGACGCTATGGCTGACTGATGTTGGGGCACTCCAAGAGATGGGACACTACTTTAATTTCATATTTTCTTAAAAATCTTATTCGCTGCAACATTAAATTATTGGTGTGGGAGCGTTGGTAGAGTAGTGGTGCTCGAGTACATGGTGTCAGTGCACTGGATTAAATCAAAAAAACACTCGAGAGAATATGCTGTGACGCCCCGAGATCTAACTTGGAAAGAATGTCGATCAATAGCCAAACAATTTACCAGAGTTATCTATAAACCTTCAGTAAGCAATCTATCAAACATCTATAAAATTTAAACATCAATATAACAGTCGATTCATATCTCAAAACATCATGTACAATACTCAGGAACTACACTATCAATACAAGTAGAAAAGCTATCCTGTCCTGAGTACAAAAAAAATCATCAAAAGAACTAAAACCTGTCAATCTGAATCAACTCCTATCTCCTGCTCCCGAGCCCTTACCTGAAAATATCAACCACATATAATGAGCTTTACAAAGCCCAGCAGGTCACCTAATACCTATAACTGAAATCAAAGCACGGCAATGCTATCAATATGCATGTCAATCTATCAATCCTTATCAGTCAATGGTCAATGAGTCTATGCAGCGGAAATCAATAGTCAATAAAACCAGTCAATGTAGCGGCAGGCAAGTCGATAAATCAATTCAATCAATGTCCGTCAATCAAATCGATACGGTCAAATCAGTACGATCTAATCAATGAAGTCAATTGAGAAAAGCGATACGAGACAAGGAATCTATAAAACAGTCAATACGGTGTAGAATAGTAGCAATAGTGGAGCTATAAGTCTATAGGCAGCAATATCAATGAATCTATACGATGTCCATGTCCATGCTATCAATGCATTATCTATATCTATCAATGTTCATATCAATGCTCAATAGTATCAATGTTCAGTAGTCAATCGATGAAATCAATAGAATCCGTACGATACAGTAAATCCGATCAAACTCAATAAAGCAGAAGTCGATAAAGCAATAAATCCGTAAATCAATACTATAAACATGCAATTTAATACTATATACTGAACAAGTACAATCTACTGGTCATGTTGCTGTTGTAGAATCCATATTGCTGTTGTAGATATCAATAATACATTGGTTCAATCAATAAGAGTCGTCACTCTTTTTGCCCGTCGGCATATCAATAAACTCCTTATGTCTCCCTTCAATATATCAATAATCAATGTTTAAAGGAAAGCCCGTCGGCCCACCATCCTGTACAGGTATCAATCAATCTTCTACCAATATTCAACCAGGTTCCACTTGTGATCAGTATCAATAATCAATTAAATAGTCAATATTACAGCAATCATATCAATAATCAATGCATATCAGTTCAATCTATCAATTTCAGACAATTCAGGAATCATACGAAAATCGGGCAGCGTAACGGCAGTCGGTCAAAATAACAAAAATCATGCAAAAAGATACAATATCCAAATCTTTCCAAATTACAATAGAATATCTATAACATCAATACAAGACTATCGATCTATAGAATCCAAATCAATTCAGGTCCTGATATTATTCTATTCAATTAAAAGCGCGTAGAATCAATTACGACCGGTAAAATCTTCGTAGAATACAGTCAAATCGTGTACAATAATCATATCTATAACATACTAGAAGTTGTGCGGTGAAAGTCGTGTCGAATCAAAATCAGGTCGAAAAGTCGACTACGAAAACACAAAACAGATCACAACTCGGTCAAAACACAATATCTTTGAAAACAGAAACAGGGTTCGGAGTCCTTACCACGAGATCTTCACTTTTCCCAACAGCAGCGTCGGACGAAAAGCGCTCCGCGGTCTCCGAAAACCAGCTTTTCTCTTTTTCCTTTTCTCTTTCTCTCTCTAAATTCAGATATTTTTGTTTTTATAAAAAGTTTGCTCTCTCTTCAAAACGAGCTGATTTTCTTATATCTGTGAACTGATCGGCCAGGCCGATATTCACATCGTCCCGTGACGATCAGACCAAATCCTGATCGTCCTGGACCTCACTCAGGGCTATTGTCTGGCCGATAATTTCTACAGTACCGATCGGCCTGGACGATCTCACGATCGGCCCGGACGATCCTGTCCAGAAATCATCCAGAAAACACTCCAGAAATCAGCTATTCAATGCACTGATCGGCTTGGACGATCTCAACTTCGTCCTGGCCGATTCTGGGAGGACAATCCAATTCAGAGAGGAACAGTAAGGGAACGAGATATTACATATGCACTATGGATATTTTGGACTAGAATTGGAGCTAAGCATGGAGCTCTACAGAGTTTGTCTTAACAGAGTTGCGATGTTAGGCTCTATTCCACATTTTCAGACCTTCTAACTAAAACTTCCTGCACAACCATAACCAAAATAATTCACAAGAAAAAAAATATAGAAATACTATAATAACATTTTCCACGAACACATACCCAATATCTACGATTAACATTGACCATTATTCAATAGAATAAGCTTTATGCAAATTCTTAAAGTGTGAGTTTTTGGCTTCGAGAGTTGGCGTTCCTTGGGTCATGAATTCAACGAAGTCGGGATTTCTATGGATCTTATTAGGGTTAAAGATGTAATGGATTGGCCGAGGCCAATCACCCTCATTGATATATGTAATTTTATTGGCTTAGCTGGTTATTACAAACACTTTGTGGATGAATTTTTTAGTATTGCTGCTTTATTAAATATGTTGACTTGGAAGTATGTCAAATATATATGGTATAATGCATGTGAGCAGAGTTTTTCGAAGCTCAAGAATTGCTTAGTGGTAACTTTTATTCTCACAATTCCTTCTAGTATTAATGGATTTCATATTTGTAACTATGCTTCACAACAAATCTTGGGTTTTGTTCTAATGCAACACAGTAAAGTGTAGCTTATACATTTAGACAACTCAATGTGCCAAAGAAGATTTACTTTATATATGACTTGGAGATTGCGATGCCTCATAATCTAATTTAGAATAATTAT